AATAGTGGGTTCCGTTGTGACATTTGCTGAACCATTTCCAGTATCTATGAGTATCTGTTCTAGATACCTCAGGCAAATGGCAGCATGGAGGTCTTGCTTATTTCACTTAACATAAAGTCCTTGTCTTGGTTTGCTTTCTATTGCTGTGATCAAACACTCTCAAAAGCTACTTGGGGGAGAAAGAAAGGGTTTCTTTGTCATAGGTCACAGTCCACCATCGAGAGAAGTCAAGGGAAGAACCTAGAATTGGAGCAGAGGAGCACTGCTTACTGGCGTGCTCCCCTGGCTTTCTCAGCTACCCTTCTTACACAGCCCAGGCCCATATGCTTAGGGATGACACCGCCCACAGTGGGCCGGGCCCTTCTACCTCTATGGCAATCAAGAAAATGCCCCATAGACATGTCCATAGGCCAAACTGATGAGTGTGAGTCTTCAGCTGAGGTTTTCTTTCCCCAGGTGTACCAAGCTTCCAAGATCAGCCATCACTGTCATGGTTCATCTCCCTATGGTGGTTCTGTGGTATATCAGAACTCTGTCATTTTTTAGGCTGAGTAAGATGCTGTCGTTTATTCGTTGGTGGGTGTCTGAGCTGTCCCTACTCCTGACTATTGTGAATATTTCTGTGAGCACTGGTGTGCACCGCTGAGCTCCAGCTTTGACCTCACCTAGGAGTAAACCGCGGGGTCTGGAGGGAGTCCTATGCATGGGGAAGGGGGGTGGTTTTGTTTTTGTTGCTGTTTGTTTTGTTTTGTTTTGTTTTGTTTTTCGAGGAATCTCTGCTTGTTTCCCACAATGACAGCTCCACTTGACTTTCCTGACAACGGTGTCAGGGAGTTCTGGTTCCTGCACATTCCACCCACACCCATTGTTTCCTTCTGGGAGTTAGGTGTATGGTTTTGATAGCAGCCTTCATGCAGGTGTGAAGTCGAGGTTTGGGTGGGAATTTGAGGCCTCTAAAGCGCGTTCACAGCATGCTAATTGCTTTAGAGTTCTGAGATCCCAGTCTGTAGGCCCAGCCTAGTATCTGTAACTCTATAGTGCTGAGGTTGGTGCTGGAGCAGTGCCTTCTTGATTCCATTCTAAGAACTAAGCAAGGTGATTGATTTCAAATGGAGGCAAGAGCAAGGGGGAAGCAGATACCTGTGTGATGCAGGAAGTCAGACCTGGTGGAAAGCAGCCTTCCTCTCCCTAGGACAGGATGCTGTCACCAGAGGAACCATCCTCCTGTCCTCTTCCTCTGCCCACTCCACCCTGCTTTCTGCCTGCTCTCCACCCCTCTCCCCTTCTCTCCCTCTCCGCTCCCTCTTTCCACCCCCCTACCTCTCCAATACAGTGGTAGGAACCATCTTCGTTCAATATGTTCTACATCCATAGGTGTTTGTGATCTGCTGGATTTCTCTCACATTTAAAGACAACTGGTGGCCAGGATTTAATGTGCTGGCACGGGCCTTGAATCCCAGCACTACAGAGGCAGAGCCAGGTGGATCTCTGTGAGTTCAAAGCCAGCCAGGACTACACAGTGAGACCTGTCTCAAAACAAAACAAAAACAGTGGAAGCCATCATGGCTCCTGGTGGATTCTGGGAACTCCTGTAGGGACAGAACATCATACATTGGCCTGGAACTGCACTCAAAACCTGCAGCTGTGAGAGGCTGTGGCGCTGCTCAGGGTAGTGCTTGCCAAACCTCCAGCTCACTCTCTCCAGATCCAAGGGGCAGCTAACGTTGTCTCATTGCTCCCCAGGAGGGAGGCTATACCTCCTGTACCTACAAAGGAAGATGATGATCCTCAGCATAGGAATGGGGGTGACCGCCTCCTCACTGGAGGGAGGATGACCGCCTCCTCACTGGAGGGAGGATGACCGCCTCCTCACTGGAGGGAGGATGACCGCCTCCTCACTGGAGGGAGGATGACCGCCTCCTCACTGGAGGGAGGATGACCGCCTCCTCACTGGAGGGAGGATGGCCGCCTTCTCACTGGAGGGAGGGTAGCTGTCTTCTCTTAAGAAGGAGGATGTCATTGGAAAGATGGTGACTGGAATGTCTTCTCATAGGGAGGAGGGTGATCATCTTCCCATTGGGAGGAGGGTGATTCATGTCCCATCCCAGGAAGATCTCTGGATCTGCCCTTCATGAATTTGCATAGAGATACGTGAGGTTATACACATACATGTCCTTAATGTGTTTTAATTTTTACATGCATGGCACCTTGTCCTGCTACTCGTCTTCTCCCACTTAACTTTAGCACACAGAAATCTACTTTGTTCTATTTATTTTTAAATTAGATTTTATTTTATGTGTATGGGTATTTTGCCTGTATATATGTGTACATGCACACCTGTGTGCCTGGTGCCACAGAGGCCAGAAGAGCGTGTTGGATCCCCTGGAGCTGGAGTTGTGAACTTCTGAGAGCTGCCATGTGAGTTCTGAGAGTTGAGCCTGAATCCTCTGGAAGAGCATCCAGTGTTCTTAACTGCAAAGCCACCACCAGGCCTCTGTATTTCATTCATTTTAAAGATTTAATTTTATTTTTATTTATGGGCTGGGGGCCTGCATGTGTGATGCCATATGTGCCAATGTCCTCAGAGACCAGGGAGGACATCAGGTCCCCAGAGCCTGGGTTACAGGAGCCTGTGAGCTGCTGGCAAGGGTGCTGGGGACTGAGCCTGGGTCTTCTGTAAGAGCAGCAACATTCTTAATTGCCCAATACATTTGCCTCATTCATTTTAAGGGTTGAATATTACCCCATCAGGTGTATACTCCATTGCCATGTATTTTAACTAGTTTGTCAAAAAAAAAGCCATACTCTCCTAGTAATGGAGGACATAGCTATCTTTCTGTCTCCATGCATTCTCAGGCAATATTGTCCTACAAAGTGAAAATCACCTAGCAGTTACAGAAGGAAAGATTGCCTCTTCCTGACCACAGAAAGCTGTCTCTTTGTCTCTGGCTGTCTCTGCTGGAACCTTGCTTGTGCCCAGCTGAAGGGCCTGGGCATCCCAGGTACCTCTCTCTCACTGTGTTTCAGCAGAGGTACAAGTTGACTCTTACCAAGCAAAGCGCTTGCTCCCCACTTTTTCACAATGGTCCTGGGTCTGGCAGGGGCACACCATCTCCATCTCCTGAGTGAGCCTTCAACCCAGCAGTTGGCTACTTGGGAAGCTACACATTATCTTTCCATATACTTCCCACAGGAGCATCTGGGCAGGGTCATTAACAGCCAGCACTTCCCGGAGAACAGTTTCAACGGTTACTAATAGTGTGCGCAGACTGTTGAGTTGGGACACAGCCATGTGCCAGGCACACTCTTCATAATCCTTGCCAGGTTTCTCTGAGCAGTCAACCTACAGCAAGTGGATATCAAGTAGATTACAACTGAACCTATTCTAGACCTTCTGGTTGGGAGAAATCACTTCAATATGAGGCTATCGGCCCAAACACACCATCTGATTTTAAGACTAGAACGAGCTTTGAGGGCAATCTCTTTCCACACAGATGTTGCATTCCGTCCTGCTGATAACTGAGGACGGTCACCTCACATCTTCGTGTGGTTCCTACTTCTGAATCTACACAGCTTCCTGAAGTAATAAAAAAAAATTACCACATGTGAGAGCAAAGGAAGGAACACATGGGCTCCAGATGTGCACCATGTCCGGGAGGATGCTCCCAGATGAGAGGAAACAGACACAATGAGAGGATCTTGAGATATGGAAAAGAAGCTAAAATTAGTTTGCATCGCTGTAGCCTGCACAGCAGGGGGGAGTGTTTTTAAATCACTAATTCTAATTAATAGTGATTGTGGAAATTATGTTCTGGACTACTAAGAAATCTATATGTGGCTGGCAATAAGAGATTGAGATTTGGTGAATGTTTAGTATGGACTCAGGTGGAGCCCTCAGCGAGATGGCAAACAGAGCTGGCCATCACATGCTAAAGGGGTACCCTGCCGTGCCTGCTCATGCATGAATACAAACCACAAACAATTCTTGTTGGAGGTCCAGCCTGGACCCCTTTACCAAGCCTTAGTGTCTCCCCACTGGGCGCAGAGGGTCCTCTCAAAGTGTCTTCTGGTGTCTCTACGTCGACACAAGTTTTGGCTCTCTTCTTCTCTCATCTGTACCCCATCACCGAGTCTAATTTATCTAGAAAAATACTGCTGGAAACAGATAAAAAAGAATCACATGAACCCCTGGTTATCTCCTATCTAAGGGCACCGTGAGTTGCCTGGCTGCTGTAGACTGTATATGAGTCTCTAGAAAGTGTTCTCTTCTAGAACCTATGAAGAAGCCAGTGTAGCCATGGCCACAGAAGGGCCAGAAGAGGGAGCCAGAGGTGGGAATGGTGGAGTCTGAAGTATACGACCTGGATTTGGTTGCTTGTTTTGCTACTGTTTCCATGTGTGCATCTGGATGCCTTGCTTAAGACCAGGTTGTGAACACTTCCTAAAGAGCCAGCCTGACTCATGAACAGCACATGTTTTATACCCTGCTCTTCAGACCAGTTCAAGGGCTTGTCTGGCAACACAACCTCCAAAGAAGATTGACCATAGAGTTGAAGGTGTCCAGCATCATAAAGGCTAAAATATACATGTTTACAAACCTCTCACAAGTAAATTGGATAGTTTAAAAATCAGAAGAATGTTCTTAAGCAGTTTAGGGCTAACTTGCTCAGTGTTACCAAGAAAGCCATGTCCCTACCCCAACCCTGTAACTAGTGCCCCCATGACCTTCAGTGGATGTTTCAGCAAGTATTTCCCCTATGTTGCTGTGTGCCTTGGGATTCAGCTGCTTGGGGTTTTTCTCCCGGGGAGAGTTTCTTCACAGAATGCAGCAACTGACACTGGGAGGTGGAGTGAACTCCAGGTACAAGGGCTTCTGTCCCCTCCAAGCCTGTCTGTCAAAGAGAAGCAGACCCAGGAGGTGGCCACAAGCCCTGCCCTCCTAACTGTCCCTGGAGTTTACAGTCTGGTCCATTTCAGTTTCTCATGTATCACCTTTCTAGGGGCTGCATGGCCCAGCAATCTGGACAAGAGCCAAGAAACCAAAGATTGTTGAAGCCTCAGTCTCTACTCTCCCACTGATGCCAGCGACCACCCAGCCCAGCCAAGCCATATGGCCTCCTGCTTGTCTGACGTATGAGGTGGGTAGCAAGCTTTTCACCCAGAAGAGGACTCCGAGGGATTAATTATTTAAAAGCCATAAATATGTATCATTATAATTCTTATTTCAGTTTCTACTCAAAGCTAAAGTGGCCAAAAGGATAGAAAACTGAGAGCCAAGGTACCTCTGAAGGCAGCTGCCTCTGCCTTTCTGGTGTTTCCAGTCTGATGGGAGACTGTCTCCAAAGTTGTGTGTTTGTTTTACGAAGGGCACATTTGAGGATGAGGACAAGCTGAACCCTGGATGAAACTGGATTCTAGCTGTTTCCATGCCTTGCCCTATGGGCATCTCCAGTGAGGCCCAGGGAATGTGTTCCGGCAACAGGGGATGATACATGTAGTTTGGGGTTTAACAGGTGATTTAGAGGACCGGGAAGCTGAGTTAGGGTTCGTAAGGTATCCGTCTAAAAGCATTCCCTTGTGGATGTTTTTAGGGAGCAAGAATTTTCTGTGTGTGAGGACAAATTAAACAGAGACTTCCCTTCCCTCCACTCCCTCATGAGGGCCCTCAAGAGATGCTTATCTGTGATTCCTCTTTACTCTGAGGCTAAAAACTACTCCCCTGAGGCTCACTCCAGCATCCCCATGGTCACCATGATCCATCTGTGTATCCTTCTCCCAATTCTACTCAAAACAGACAAATGGTCTCCTTCACTTTATAGTCCCAAGGTACATTCCGTCAGCATGGCTTTCTGGGGAGGGGCAAGGAGGCTGACATCTGGAAGTGCCCAACCTGTACAGGTGGGAAGTTGTTCCCATCTTAGCAGAAGAAACCCCTCCTGCTTAGTCATGGAGAATCAGGACAGGAACAGTGAATACAGCACCGTGCCTAGGGCCAGGTTGAGGCAGGACAATACTGTGACATTGTTTAAACCGGTGGTTTTAAAATATTTGTTCAGTATTTACTTAGATGAAAGGCCCAGTTCTCTAAATAAACAAATGTAGGGCTTAGCAGGAGGAAAGGCCCCAGGGCAGGTAGCTTTGTCCTCCCCTCACCCCCAGTCTCCAGAGAATACAGCTCTGGCAAGGATCTGTACCACCTCTCAGCAAAACAAAAGCCACACAACTAATGTCACCACCCACCTGCAGACAAGGCTTGCTTTGGAGCAGACCCAGCAAAGGTCTAACCCCCCAACTCCAGATGCTTTCAAATGCTACACTCCTTCCTGGCCCCTCCGAATCCCAAAGAGGTCACTACAGGACTAAACTAACCCATCTCCTCTTGTTGCTGGTTTAGACCCCTCAGCTGGCCCAGTCTGCCTGAAAGATGTGGCTTCTTTTCCAGGGCCCTGGGAGGCCTGTACGCCAGGCTGTTCTTGTTGGGGAAGGCTCTGTGGTGGCCCGACTCTCAGCGGATCTCTTGGAAGCTCCACAGCACATCTGATGGGACATGACCTAAAAAGTGTGTGGGCGTTAGGAAGGACGCTTGTTGCTCTTTGGGTCTCAATGGCTCTGTCCTGGCTTCTTCCTTTGACGCCGCCTTAGATCTTCCCAGTCACCCCTTCAGCCTTCACAATGCTACTCTTGATACGAAAGCTACCCCCCTTCATTTCCCCACAGCTTGCTGAACTTTGTCCTTGGCTTCTTCTATCATATCCATGAAGGAAATTTGAACTACATGGACGCTGGCTTTTTGACATGTAGTGATATACTCTTCCTTTGCCTCTATGGGGCAAGAACTAGCACTGGACTGCCTTTAGCTCAAAGCTGACCCTTAGAACATGTCACAAGGAATCAGAAAGAAAGGCTAGAGTGGATTATGGAGTGTATTCACAGAAACTTTGGGATTCTTGATGACTCCGGCTGAGAGCTCCAAAGTAGACAAGAAAAGCTGCTTCCAGCTCTCACTGCCTGAGAACACTTAGTGTGAGGTGTGTACATATATACGTGTGTGTGTGTGCGTGTGTGTGTCTGTGTGTGCATCTGTGTCTGTATCTCTGTGTGTGTTTATTTCTATGTATATGTGTAAATCATATATAACTTTTAAGAAAAACATTTCTGAAGCCAAAGTCATCATAATGAGTCACCACTGTGCAGGATGGAATTCACTAGGAACCAGGTACACCCATTTATAGTTAGGAATACCGTGGTTGCTAACATGTTCCCTCTCATGAAGCAGGGCCTGGCCAACAGTAGATTCTTTTCCTCCTATTTTGCTTCTATGTCAAAATTAAAAACTTGGGCAGCTGTCCTGGGCTCTCTCCCTGGAAGCCTTGAGCCTAACACACAGCTGTCTCCCTGGCATTGGAGGGCAGAGACCAATAGATCAATGAAGCCCATTGGGCAGCTAGCCTGGCAGAATAGATGGGCTTCCAGTTCAGCGAGAGACCCTGCCTCAAAAACTAAGAAAGACTCCTGACCAGAGGTCTCCATGTACACACTCATATGAATACACACATACACCAACATCCATATGTACACACCCATATATATGCCACACACACAAAGAAGAGAGATCTTGTTACAATATTTTATCAGTATCAATGATTATAACTTAGCATGTTGGAAGCCATTTTTCTTTGAAGAGCTGAGCAAAATATGTATTTGTTCCATTATTTAAACAAACAAAAACACACAGAAATATAATTTTGTTTTTGTTAAGATTTATTTTATTATTAATTTATGTGGGGGGATATGTGCATGCATGTGTGTGTGTGTGTGTGTGTATGTGTGTGTGTGTGTGTGTGTGTGTGTGTGTGCAGATACTGGCAGAGACCAGAAGAGGGCACCAGATCCCCCGGAGCTAGAGGGGATGCAGGACTCAGATGCTGGGAGCTGAACTCAGGTTCTCTCTAAGGACAGCAAGCACTCCTAACCCACTGAGGCACGCCTAACTGTAGTTTTATATTGGGGTGTGTGTGTACTTGCATGAGTATGTGTACCTGTATGTATGAATGTGTGTGAATGTGTGTGAGACTATAAGTATGTGAGTGTGTATGGTGTGTGTGAGTGTCTGTGGATGTGCATCTGTGTGTGTGAAAGTGTTTTGTGTGAGAGTGTGTTTTGTGAGTGTGTTTTGTACTTGTGAGTATGTGTGTGAGTGTGTGTGTGAGTCTATAAGTGTGTGTGTATGGTATGTGTGAGTGTGTGTGGATGTGTATCTGTGAGTGTGTGTGAAAGTGTGTTTTGAGTGAGAGTGTTCTGTGTGTGTGTTTTGTGTTTGTGATTATGTGTGTGTGTGAATGTGTGTGTGAGTGTGTATGATATGTATGAGTGTGTATGGTATGTGTGAGTGTGAGACAGTCTGTGTGTAAGTGTGTGTGTGTGTGTGTGTGTGTTGGGCATAAAATCAGGGCTACTCAGAGGCTAAGCAGAGTATCTCCTAGTCCCCAATTTCTTCTCATTAGATTTAGCATTGCTTTGCTCATTTGCTATGGACGTTTTAAGTGCTTCCTCTCGACCTTTGCCCCAGCCCAGAGGAGCTAACTAGAGCTGAGCTGTGACTCTAAGCCTGCCTCCAGAAGTTTCCAGGTTTTCATTTTGGCCTAAAGCCTATATCGTTCAGCCAAGGGAGCTATACATACCTGACAGAAGAAATCTAGGTCTTGAGTCCTGGGAGAGCCAATACTCAGACTTAACACCGGGCTGGGGGTTAACTTTAAACTACCAGGTTCCCTTTTCCACTCAGCTTGTACTGATAAATCATGAATAGTCTGTGCAGGGTAGGCAGAACGGACCAGAAGACACCACGTTTTCATTTAGTATTACTTTGTGTTCTGTTCAGTCATCAGCCTTTCTGGTCAGTGGTCCAGATCCCTCTGCACAGCCGTCTCAGACCTGTCGGTTATTCTATGAAACTTAAGTGCTATGTCTACTCGGGAGTGCGGATAAAAGGAAAGGGCGTTCTCTATCCAGACCAACAGCCTTTCGATTCACTTCCTGAATAAGTTTATGCCTAGTAAGATATTTCGGATAGGCCGTAGAAAAGCAACGTGCCACGGCGCCTCAAATTATGAAGCTTTAAAGTCTTTTGTCTTTAAAATGGGGCAACAGTGTAGTTGCAGAACTTGGCTTTCTGAGTGCCTCTTCTGAAAAAGCGGATCACAGCGCCACCCAGTGGACATCAGTGGTTTAACGTTGGCGACAAAGAGGCAGGAAAAGCCACGTTTAAATGGTTTAATTCACCATTCCTTCCATTCATTTTCCCTGTTGTTAGTGGGTTTTTTTTTTATTGTGGCATATCCGTAACAGATGGCATGTCACAGTTTAAGTTATTTTCTTTATTGACGACCCTTCATCCAACTGACGCCTCCGTTTCACCAAGTTCAAGTTTACTACACTTCGTGGGTTCCGTTCACTCATTTTTCAGGGACAGTTACTGAATATCCACTCGGTGCCCAGAGCTTATTGATGTATTGTGTGTTATTCATTGCATATGTCTCTGTTCAATCGCATTCAAGCTCTTGACTGTGGTGCACAACACAGCCTTTAGTTTGTGATCCATCGGTGTTTGCACATTTACACATCTATCGATTTGGGGCTTTGTTTGGCCTTAAGGCCCCTATCCTTTGGCTGGGGGAGTGTTACTCACCCGACAAGGAAAACCTAGGCAGCGATCCTTACCCTTGACTGCATATGAGTGTCACCCATAGAGGTTCCTAAATAATCATTCCCAGAACACACTTCCCAGAGATCTGACATCTAGTCTAGGAGTGAGGCCCATGCATTCCAAAGAACCTACTGTGTGCTGGTGTGACCTTTCTCTTTCCTTATGGTCAGATTCATGCCAGGCGTATAGATGACGGTCCAGTGATTAGGCATTTCTGTTAAATATTTAGTGGGAAACATGATTTCAAATTTCAGCGGTGCACACCTATAACCGCAGCAGAAGGTGGACACAGGAAGTTTAGGAATTGAAGAGTCTGCCTCCTAAGTGCATCGTGAGCTTGAAGCCAGCCTGGGCTATTTGAATCCTTGTCTCAAAATGAAACAGTAGACAACTTTTATTTCTTATGAATAAAGATTTATGGACACAAAACCT